CACATAAAAAGTATTAAATGAACAAATACAGAATTCATCAAGCTCAATTCTACAGAGAAAATAGTTAGTAGTAAATATTACAAATAGATGGAAGTTAGGCCAAACGAAACTTTAAAGCATCGAAACGCAGCAACATTAAACTAGACCTAGTCACTACATGAAAATTGGGAAATGTCAAATAAAAGCGTTTTTATATTCCATAATTACTAAAATGAAATCGATTTGCTAGAAACTGAAAGGTTGTCTACATAACACCAATTTACACAGGTGATATAAACGGTTTCTTAAACAAATAATCGGTCATGATTTAATGTCGTTGTTTGCTAATACATAATGGTAAAATATTTTTTCACTGAGCTTACTACAGTCGTTAAAAAATATCGTGCTTGTCTGAGTGAGTTTTTATTTTTCATGTGCCAGACACATTTGGATAGAGAAGGCTTAATAATTAAAATGTCAAAGAACACCTACACAAGAAGATTGACCAGACAAATACACTCTTAAATAGAAATCCAACACTGATATCTTTTAGAAACAACTGCTATTTTTAGTAATTAAGATGTATAGTATCCTCGAGCGATCTTTATTTTGCTTGTATTAGATGGTACATAAAATTGTATTTAAACAATACACTAGCCTCAGGTAGTCATATATCTCCGTTATTTACCCAAATAAAAAGAGCTCAACATCATCATACAGTTGTATAGACGTTTATGTATGGATAACTCATTTATTAAAAAAATATTAAAATTTTGAGGCTCAATTAAATCTATCAAACATGCAACAAAAAGCGATAATATACAAAGTAACGAAAGCGAGATGAAAGCTGCTATGATATATAAGCAATCAACCTTCATTCCAGTAAGAAGGAAACCAGTATCACGCCTCCATGGGTACTTTGCAGCAGCTCGAGCCCGTTTATGCTCATCAATTTCAGGTGGATATGCTTCGAAACCAATTTTAAGATCAACAATGGAGGGGTGAAGGTATCCAGTTAATAAATCTTCCATTCCAAAATAGTAAGTATCTAGTGTAAATAATGAAAGCAAAAAAGTAGGAAAAATAAAATAAAATAGATTATTCAACGAATTTTTAGGATAATATCTAAAGAAGAATTCACAATATTTTTAATGCTATTGAATGACTAGTATATAATATATCAAATGCCCCCCCCAATTCAAATAAAAAATAAAAAAACAATTAAAATAGTTTGAGATAAAACGAAGATATACATGACGATAGATGTTAAAAGGTATGATTGCACATGATTAATACATATACACTGACAAAATCCTCCATAAAATAACAAATATTGATATATAATATTATGAAACAATAAATATATCAATAAGACTGTGATTTTATGCAGAAATAAGTAGGTGACGTGCTAAACCGAACCACAACCGGCATATTACTTGAATAATGTAATTAAAATACCAGGTTTAGAACGTTTAAAAAAGATCCCTTCAAAATTGGGAATAAAGTTTCTCAGAGATTTCAGACATTTATCTGCAGATGGAGAGAAAACTCGTTGATAGAATGCAATTTCGTTGGATCCTCTACAAGAATTCTGAACCAGCTTATATATTATTGGTTTAACATTATCTTTCAGCACTGTCGGACATTAAAAGCAAATTATAGACACAAACTGTAAAAGGCTTCATCGTTAGACTTAGAGCCATGACCTCCAATTTGATGAGTATAATGACTACACAGGAGCGGCAACTCCTCAGCCTTGTAGAGCATATTAAAGATGACGGGCGCTTTAAAGTATGGCTAAGGAAAATACATAAATATTGATAATACAACGTTAAAAAGCTAAAGCCACAATTATTGGATTTTATACAACTATATTATATCCAAACAATAAACAAGGCAGGCAGTATACACAATTTAATCTAAGTGAACTAAATTCAATGAAGAATTCATATGAATTTCCTTAAGCAATCACTGGCAACCGATAACAATTTCACGTAATTATTGGTGAGTTATGGTGCATAATCCATGCGAGAAAGCGTTGTCGACACTTCTGGAGCTCTTGGGAAGGAAGATGACATAGCGGATCTAAAAAGAATCGTTAGTTAAACTAAACAATCATTGGATAACTAATACTTGTTTTACGTTCAACGGCACCATGAATGCATATGTAGTTGGTCTGACTATGGGCTCACCAGTTTGGGTTATGCTAGCTAAATATATTGGAAAATGATATCAAAACTTCACCTCAACATCCAACACTAATTATCCTATACTTGGGTGACAACCTTGCAATCTGATTACATAAAAATTAAAAATTAAAAATAATTCATTACTGATTAATTTTTTGAACGATATTAATGAAAGAGTCTTGGTTTAACTGAAATTGGGTGAAAACGGTCAGTTAATATTATTGGATGTTACGATTATTCACACCCACAATACGCATAAAAAAGAGTTTTTAAAGATATTCTATGTACGAGCAATCAAATAATTTAACCTTTGTCATAATTACATAATAAAGTTTGTAATATTCATGACTATGAATAGATGTTTGGTTATTAGTTATTACAGATACGAAGAGAAACTGGGTTTCGATGAATCTCCTGAGATAACATTGTTTGGAGGACTTTGATTTAGTATGAAAGTGTATAAAGGAAAGATTCGTTGGTCGATCTCACGAGATGAAGACGTAGGAATCTTATTGTACTGCAGCCGTTTGGCTTTTATGCAATGTACTTGTTGACGCAGTCCACGAGATTTCTTCCCTCGTTTCGAGTGAAAACTTGCTGAGCTTACATCAATCAGATGATGGACATCATCATAGCTTGGTCTCATTCTTGCAAGAGTTTCACGTAAACACTAGGCCAAGAACACTATTAGGC